CAGCACTGGTAACAGGCTTGTAGGAGTATTAGTTGTAGCGGCAAGTAATGGGGTAGCAAGAGAGGAGACGCCCCTGCGTACCACAGCCATAGCGGTGCCATCATCGTCATCACCATAATGGCAGCAACAACAATAATAACAGTTACATAATCCTACTAGCACAACAATAACTATGTCAGCCGTTTTGTGGATTGCGCACATTGCGCGAATTGAAAGGAAAAAGTCTATTGGCATCTAGGAGAAGACTGTACTCTAATCTTTACGGTACCTTCAAGAAAGGCGACAGTATGTAGAGTAGCGTTATGAATAGGGGAATCTAGCTATTCATTCGGAGCACAAATAATAATTTCGTAAAAAAAATAGAATCCAGCTCGTAGGTTTGTCTGCTCGGAAAAGTCTAACCAATTTACATGGTTACCACATCATCATAGATATTTAATTATCCGAAGCGATGTCGCCGTTTAAATCGGTGTAGGCCTTTTTTCTATATTGGTTTTTTTTTTGTAGATTGTCATTATCTCAAGAGGGGAACGCACATTTGATACGGCTCCTATTGTTAGTTTGTACTTGTATATGGCTCTCCAAGCATATTCTTGATATTTCAACAACTTCATTGTTTTATGTATGAGTCTAAGGTCCTGGAGAACCTGCTGCCATGTATATATTTTAGAAACTGATCGTCGCGCGTTTTCTACCCATAAGCGATACATAAAGCCAGTCTCTCTCTCTATCTCTCTCTCTCTCTGTCCGGTGCAAAGTAGCGCTTCAAGTTACCAGTAATTTGTCAAAGAAGGGTAAATTATTTCTTGTCCCCTTTGTGACAAGGTCAAATGTTCAAATTATTATTTTTATTTAATTTAACAATTTAAATATCTAAAGGTAAATACACCTTAAAAAAACTTAACCACCTCAACGCCCTGCATATTATTTGCTATTTCGATCTAGCGCTTTTAGCAGGTATTATTGTAAGCCGCCTCTAAGACCATTTGATCGCAGACGAAGATTGGGCTTCTGGGTATGGTTCAACATGCTCACGACCCATGCGCTGCATTATCATCAAATACTGAGGCAGGAGCAAGGGTTATGAGTAGTTAATCGATATTGCGTTTTCGTGCGACCCGCCGAAACAATTCGGGTTGTATTTGTTGAAAGACTTCGATCTGTTCATGGGGCCACCAGATCTCACAGCAGTCCTGGTATAATTAACTTTTTACAAAAATAAATATAGGATTCAAGTTCCTTGAACTTTAAGTGAAAATATTATTCCAAATTAACGTTTCACATGATCGCTTACGTAGTAAAGGTGTTTAAACTTAAATCGGGTGCTATGGTGATACGATTAACTTTTATAGCTTCAACTAGGGGGATGATGTCTCCAACTAGGATATATCTCAAGTAGAAGATAGCACATTTAAGACCAGACGGCTTTTTCTTTCGTTTACGCCATCGAGATACTTTTTCTATCGCCGTTCGTATCGTAAGTCCTTCTTCCGGTATGTGAGAAGAACCGTATATTTGAGATCATTCCTATTGTGTAGGAAAAGGAACTACATATCCTACATATCTATGACTAAGAAGACACCGACAATAAAATTAATGTGAATTATGAAGCCTGAAATCTACAAATGGGTCCTTTTGGGCCACAACTTCTGGTTGTTTTTAATAACAACAGTCTTGCAGTACTGCGTGTGCGGATGCCACCTAGAAGCTCCTGTGTGTGCTATGCGTTTGACGCATCCAGACGGTTTATGTAAGATGATGAACTTAAATGATGTCAGTATTGCCCACCAGGCAAGTATCTGTGCGCTGCTGAAATACACCTAGAGTAACTTGGTTCGACACCTACGTTCGTGTTCCATTCGACGCTGGGCATTACCATATGATAACTTGTTTTTACAGATTTAGCCACCAGCGTACGTTATAGGTGGGACTGTCATCTAACTATGCTATCAATATGTGCTTTTACAATGGGCGCAACTGCGGTTGGTGGAATAAATTATAAGCGGCAAAAATATAAAATAGCCTAGTAAATAAGGTCCATTTATTAACTTGTGCCGATTTTTCGCTCCACCACGCCAAACACTTGACCTTGATTACTTATAAAAGTAATAAAACATAACAGCGCCGCCTAACCGCTACGCCGGGCTAACAAGTTGTTTTCACAGATTTGAAGATTTCATGATTTGTAACTTTATTTTCGTAAATGATGGGTTAGGGACTGCTGAAGTCTACAGCTCTATAAATAAATCTAAACCCATATTCACAAATGGGGTACAGCTGGGGAATAAAATAAAGCGCGCATTTAGACATTTGATTTTTCAGATCGTAACACGGCCACGTTATCCGAATTGTATATATTGTATCGGCGAAAACGGTTCTGATTTAGCGCGATCAACGATAATTTTTACGATGTTAGGTTCAAACATCGATGCATCACATTGACAATTAGCGACGCCTCACCTTTTTTTTTTTTTTTTTTTACCAAACAGATTTTAAAAGGAATTAGTGGCATTTTTTCGTTCAAGTTCATTTCAATGATATGTTGTTGATGTACAATGATAATAGTATTTGTTATGATATCACCGGAAGATTTCCCTAGTAAATCTTGCTAATCCGGATGCCTCTTTGCAGTACCGATTTTTAGTTAATAGGAATAATAATATTACTGATAGGGTTTCGGCACAAGACTTTCTCAGAAACTTAGCCTTTCCAGATAAGTAAACATTTACACGATATTGTATAACTTTTTGGTCTAAAGTTACCAATGTTGAAATTTGATAAATACCTACATTACGACCAGCAGATTATTGAAAGTCATTAGAGAATAATGCATTTAGAGGCACACATACTGTTCACTGCCGAAAATCAAAGCCTGCTTAGTGTTAAGTTCTTGTTGCTCGCAAATGAGAGACCTGGTGGATTCCGTTAGTAAAAGCCCTGGTGTTGAAGCCCTCAGCGAAACAATGGTTCGTTAATGGTTCAATTCTTTCAAGTACGAAAAGATTGAAAGTTGGAGACCGCAGAGGAAATGAGCGTACAGAACGTCAAATAAAGCAGTTAAGTGCTGTGATTACTTTAGCTTTTCGGTGAAACAGAAGAGCATCGGTGAGGCACGCCCTGTCGCCTCGAAGCGCGTGTTGTGGAGTTGCAGCGACACCACTAAAAAGGAGGACGAGGAAGGAGCAAAAATCAGTTTCCCCATGAACTAGGTCCGGGACAGATGGAGACACGTGCAATGCAGTCTAGAAACAATTTATGCAACTATTACCTAGAGCACACCACCACCGTAAATGAGACGCATGTTGGCCTGCGTCGCCATCCGTCAACGGTCAAACAGGAGAATAGGGTTTAACTGGAGAGGGAGCGATTTCGGTAGCATATATTCGGGTATGAGCTAACGCTCGTACTCGCAAGGGACAGCAGCAGCATTCGTGGTCCGTCGATTTTATTCGTAAAGTTATCAAGCAGTGCCGCCGCAAGATATCTCGAATTTCTAGGGAGTCTCACGCATGCGCGGTCTGACAATAGGCAGTACACGCACGCCCCGTCACGCAAAAAATGTTTTACTTGACGAGAACGCACGACTTGATTGCCATACCTCAATTACAGCCTTAGTTGCAGAATCAATTCCGATTCGCATATTTTTCATTTTAAGTCTGTATCATTTCGATTGCTTTTATGGTTCAAAGTTGGCGACAGGTAGCAAAGCAACTTGTCCTACCATAAATTATTAGGAACAAGCCATCTACCGATAACAACAATAAATGTCGTTGATGTATATTATGAAATCATTGAAGCAGCTTTCAGAAGAGAGCCTCGTTTTGATGCGCACTACATTCAACTTATACCAAAATACCATTGTTCTACTTTTTACAGTTTAAAAGTTATTGACGCTGTTCGACACTCTAATAAATAGATTCCGGCCACGCGGCGCACGGGTTCGTCGACTTTTTACGTACGTTAACTGTAGTCGGATCATACGAGACTGTTCGTATAGACGAATGGATCAACCATACATCACCGCACGTATCATGCAGTAGGCCTCGTCATCTAAGGCAAAGCTATATGCCATGTATAATTCGTGCGTATATGGCAAAAGGAGCTGCATTACCTAGTTCTTCAGTAAAAATAACATCGCTAAAGTGATCCGGACCTGCCACTGTTTGGGTCATAAATATGAGTTCTGTCCTAACGGTGGAACGTGGACTGCCGAGTTGGTTATAAACGGCATGACGGTCAGAATCGACTACTTAATGGTTGCGGAACAAGTGGATTATTTAACGAAAGTGAATCTTCATCATCACGTAAAATGTTTCGGTGTGTTCAGTAGAGATCACAACGGTGTCGATGTACATATTCTACCCCGGCCTTAAAATCGTGTTGCGAAAATTCACGTATAGGTCGACAAGAAAGCTTCTCTAACGCTGAATAGCGAACGGTCATCAATTTCAGCCCATAGGAACGATTTAGGTGACTAGGCTAAACTGTACACCTGTACAAGGCTACTTTGGTCGCTTCGTTCGGAAAGGCTGTATATATAAGCTAACCCTAAAGGCCGGCTGTGGTCAGGAGAGTGTCTCTATGAACATCGATACGTGGCAATTTTTTACTATCGTCATCAGGTTACGCTTTCAACCGCAGTTCGTAGTATTCGTAGTACCACAAAACGCATTCCGGGAGCATTCGTTTAACAGCTGCGTACAGCAACCGCAGTCACTGAGAAGGTTCTTCACTGAAGAACAATAGTCAGAAGATATTATTGTTACTATTATTATTGTGATTCTTGCTGTAGCAGAAACCCCTTTACTGGACCATTGCTTTGTCGTGACTGGCTAAGCGTTTTTAGTTTCAAAGTTTATTGTTGTCCAGGTTGTGTTTATACTCTATAATATATTTAGTTATCTTGGTGGTTTCGTCTGTGCACGCATAGGCAAGAACAGTTGACCGCGACCTTTGACAGGTATTCTCTGCTGTGGGTATTCAGTGAAAGCGTGTCTTACCTTCAGGCGAGGCGGCGCGTTCGGTGACGAAGGCCTGATTGGTTTCGGCTGTTGCAGCGCTGGAAGTGGCCAGTGCGAGTGCCTCTTTTCGTCGTGACATTCTCCCTTCTGCAGTGGCCTTGAGCCAAAAATGAAATAAAACTCACAGGCTGCGTTTGATTGCAATGGCGACAGATGATACACAGCAAGCACCTCAACTACACAATTCGACGGATGACGATCACTAGCAGTAAACGCTACTTGACCAAAAGCGGCCAACGACAAATCACGACACAGTCATTGTTGCTACTGGCGATAATGGCGACACGACGTACACGCAGAGGCATGGACACGCACTCATATGGTGCTGATCATAACGGTAATAGAAACACGGTGAGCTGGCATTCGGACTCTTCACCTTCCTGCTGCTGACGCTGCCATCAGCGTTTGCCTTATTGTTGTTGTTATTACTTTTATAAATAGATCCGTTGTTAGTAATTCTAGAACTCGCTGGTTTACATCTTTCCTTATGCCGCTACAATTAGGACTTTTGTGATGATGATGATTACCCTGGCTGCTTATCCTAACCTCTCAAGTAGCCTTGTCCAACGTCCAGATGGATCTCAACTGCTAGCTGGCTTAATATACGTACACCTGTACGTTATCGCTTCATCTTTGTGTTTCTCTTCCGTCTTCTATTTTCCACGGTTTCTCAGTTTGCTCGCTCCATATACCTAATTCGGATGGAGCTCTGTTCCGTTGGCGAAGCTGCCCTTCGCGGAAGCTTTGGCTATTGACTGACGAACCTGACCAATTAATTGATTGGCCTACTCATCTATCAATCAATTGGCTAATCTCCCGTGTATATATATACACATATGTGTCATCGACAAGCCACGACAATTATTGATTGATCGTTGGCACGATAGACTGGCCGTGTTTTTGGCCTCGTATGACTCAAATCAATCACGCACACGCCGACAGACGGCAACAACGAGCGAAAAAAAGGTTAGAGGTTAGGGGGGAAGGCGGGGGTTTTGGTGAGAGAGGAATCTCACCATGATTCTTTATTTGTTTCTACAGCATCGAGCCTACTATCCGGCTTTATCCTTATCAGCTCCTTGGGGCAAATCGTAATGGTTGTGACTACAGGCGTTATCTGACTTCTAATTATACTGATGAGAATTTCTAGATGTCTTCTCACTGTTGTAGCAGTTGCAGGTTAGAATTGTAATAGTAAAATTGTATAGAGCCGTGACCGTCCTAGAGACCGTTGTTATTATACCACCGGTGGTTGTACTATTAATGATAGCTAATTATAGTTAACATGTAGATTTGCAGTTCTTTTTTCTATTTATTTTGTTGGCTGTTCATCACTGCTGCTGTCGCCTCCGTTTGTTTCGCTAAAATGGGTGACGGCCCGTCACAGGAAGATATGACGATCCATCGACGATCGTACAATCTGCTACTATTATGGTCTATATGCGCACTTTTACAATAACTGTAATAATAGTTTCCGCTATCGTACTACTAATTAGAACTAAGAATTTCAATAGTAGGTCGGGTTCGCTCCTCTGATCGACTTCCTCTTTGTGCTGTAGATAGATGTTGAAACAATTTATCGTTGATGACGGCTTAGCCTAATATTGATGCGGTTCTATGCGTAGACGCATGTATTTGTCCTACACGACCATGCAGATACTGATTGTTCGAAACCGTTTGGCGTTTTTGGCTGTCCGTTCCCTTGATTTCCTATCCTCTCCCTAGTTTTCCTGGCTCTGCGCTTTCAGCATTACGGTGTTATTACGGTAATCTGTTTTACGCAACGGCTGCTGCTGGTAGCGTTCAACGACAACTGATGAACATTTTAGATAGGACGCTGCTGTTTGTCTTAGCTGGGTCTCCGGTTTGACCCAGTTCGATGAACGTCGCCTTTATTTTTTTGGGCTGCTAGCGTTGACGTAGGCTGTGTCCGCTTGGTTCTGATCAGGTTGTAGGGCTGTTTCGTATTCGCAGTGGTCGCAATGCAGGTGATGCTGCAGCTGCTACAGGTGTTACTACTGGTCTCGGTCGTAACGGAAATTCACGGGTGGTCACCAACTAACGTCAAACTGTAGTAGTGACGATCCTGATTTAAGCTGTGAGTGATTGTTGTAAACGCATACGCTTTTCCGACGTATGTATATATATATATATGTATATAAATATGTGTGTGTTGTTACTTACTTTCACTAATAGAGTATAGGGATTATTGGTTCACAACCTTATTTTTTGTCATTGTTATTTACTTTTGCAATAATAATAGTAGTAATAACAAATTAATTGCTGTTGTTGTTGTTGCTTTGGTGGAGTGGACTAATAGCGCTGCACGTTCTGTCGTCATCACCTTCGTTGACGCTGATGGTGATACTTTGTGTTTCGTGTTTGCCTGTTCTACCCTTCATGATTCTATTTGCGTTCAGCTTTCCTTCTTCGAGAACAAATAAAATATTTCTCTTACTTTCGCTGTTCTGGGCCTTCTGCCGTTTTGGCCATTGTTTCCGGCCTTCTGCCTCATACAGGCTTCAGGAAGGTCTTATCATAATAGCAGTAGATCTTGTACGCATCGCTTCGGCGTATCTCAGTACCTCGGTATTCTCGTGACTGCAGGATGATACAGCACGACCAACAATGGCTGCTTTGGAATGACTGTTTCAAGACGAATTAACCTAGACTACGATATATACGAGGAACGATGGGGGCAGAGTAGGGACGGGTACAATAGGACCGGCTTGACGCGAGTTAAATCGAATTCTTCGCTTAGCTTGATTAAATCGTTTCGTCTACTGCTGTCCTTTTGTCTGTAAAAGTAATAATTGTACAAGTTGTATAGTTCCAAACAAAGCAACGTTGTTACAGACGTAAAGCTTGAGGCATACGTTGAGGTTGCAATAGAGCTAGCGGTCATTAGCGCAATGAAAGCGATGGCCGCGTGTGAAATCCTAGTTACGCTTGTTATTGTTTCTCTGTTAGAGGCCGTTTGATCGGTTCGGTACTCGTTGTTCCGTCGGACACTGTTATTTTATTCGCTTCGTACAAAATGACCATTCGTTATTTTTTTGTGTTTGTTGTCCGACGCTTGGCTTACTTGAAACACGAATTAGCTTTACGAATATTATTTACTTCCATTCTTTCTTGTATAGTTTATCGCACATTTCCGTTAGAGAAGATCAATCTTCGAACAGAGAAAGGGGTCAGAAACGTGGTAGACGTACTACTGCTGCAGGAAGCTAATTACAAAACGACAGGGCGCACCAATTAGCAAATTGATAGAAAATTAGGCAGCCACGAATAGCTTGTATTATGCGTTAGGATTTTATGAGTTTTGTGCTTGATTATGATTGTTTCCATTGTTATCTAGCCGAAGTTGTTGAGAGCGCAATGCTAACTCCGGCCCCCTACTGTCATCGCGTCGCATGAGCGCTACCTTTTACTGGCCCTAGCGGCGTTTTGTTTGCTTAGCAGACGTGCATGCCACGATCCGTAGCGGTTGTCATTGTTACCACTAGTGACGGCGGTAAATCGGTGGAAAAAGAAAGCAAAAACCACGCTGACGATACCATATCCGATAGCGGAACGTTGCTCCTTTTCGATAAACGTTGACGAACTTCACGCGTCGTACAAAATAATTATCGGCACTACACTATGGACTAACTTTAGTCACACTTCGATGAGCAGACGCTGACATTGTTGTTATTGTAGTGAAAAGGATGTTTTTCAGCCAGCAGTTTTCTCAATATTGCGGTAGCATTGAGGCAATTACCGGTTTTCCAATAGCAAGAGAAATAGTTGTTGTTGTCGTCGTGATGGTAGTAAACAAACGCTTGAAAATAACGTAGCACGGGCGTTCGACGTCTACTGTGCCTTTGTACTGTTTCCGCGCACTGCCAAACACTCGGTGATTGGAACACCTGCACGTTGGTCGTCCTCAGCGTCGATCCTTCAACATCGAGCCCTTGACGCCGGGCTTGAGGTCGCGGTCGGCCTGCGGTCGTCTTGCACTGCATCAAGCAGGATCGCACGCACACACGCAAACACCTCACAAATACGTATATTCACTTGTAGAGAAAAAACGACATTACTCATTATCATCGCCTTCACGCAAACGCTCACACACACGCGCACGGAACACAGCTGCAGCTGCAGCTGCGTTTCGAAGACTCACTCGACCGTGTTATTGCTTTCACCGCTGTTGTGGCACTCGATGAAGTCTGATCGAACGAGCGACTAAAGCGACGAGCGAACTAATCAGCCTGTTACTTGTGCTTGCTGTTCCCAGTCGTGATTTGCGATTCGACTGGCGATTTTTGCGGATGCATGAAATCCTTAGGTACCCAACGACTCACTATTTTACTACCCCTGAAACAGACACTGAAGATGTTTGGTTAAAGCGGGATGTTGGTGGTCCAAGCGATTACTGGGGAGCGAGAACATCGAAGGAGACGCGCGCGGTTCAACTTGCGCTCTCAATGCGGTTGTTACTGGAGGTTCCTACTGCCACATCTGCCGAGACGCCTACGGTGATCGTGGCTTTGATTGTGAAGGTTGCCGTTGTTGCTGTCGCTGATATTATCATATATGCTGTTGCTGTTGCTGCTACTGTAGTGATTCATGAAGTTAGTGTACTGCCCGCCAAAGCAGCCTACGTTTCCTGACGGAACAACCTCGACGTATGTCTGTCTCGGTGGGGTCGAATTGCTCGTTCAGGTGTTCTCGTGAGGTTCGTCGCTAGAGCCAACGGCTCGATGCCCACATGCCTCGAACGTCATACCACTCGAGAACGGGAGCTGGGAGCACGGCTGTTTTGTCTGTGATGCCTCTGCGACCCTGACCACAGGGCCCTCTTCCATGTTCCTGTGTGGTCTGTCTGCTCGTAGCCCACAATCGTACCGTCCTCATAGGGCGCTCTGCACGTTCCGCGCTCCTCTTCGGCCCACCCCCATTTCCAGCCTGCTGCTAACTGCCCACTCCGTCGCGAGACGGCGCCACCGGCTTGATTCCCACGCGGATCCTCTGTGCTGCACTTGAGATCGATGTTCTGTACGGAACCATCCACCAGCCACCCTGTGAATTCCGCACAATGTACATTATAGTAAGCGATGACTACGCATGTAAAGGGTATATAGCTCTATAATCCATGCAAATCTATCTGAAATCGGGGCTTTTTGGTCTGTGATCAAGTACGAAGGGACATTTTTGTCAGTAGTAGAGCTTCATGAGAGAAGCAGAAAATTCTAACTGAACTCTTTAGTGCTTGTGATCTTCACCTCAGAACTGCAGTAGAGAATGCTAGTTGGCCAGCAGCAGCGTGTGACGCTAAGATGACGGTTCTCGTTATGACTAGCAGCATTAGCAGTTGAGAACATGGAGACAGAGATCCACGATAGGGCCAGAGTAAGATAGCACAGGACATATAGGATTAAAGTTTTCATAGTCCTATCATTACTCGTTGTGCGGTTATTGTTACGGACCTCGCGGAGGAATACCCGGTACGTAGAGGAGGCGATGGGGACAAAAACGAGCCAATCGGAGGAGGTAAATAGCAACGGATGACTGCGCAGCGATGACCCTACGAGGCACCTGGGGTAACCGCATCAGTACAGGAGGAGCAAGCAAAAGCCAAGAGCAAGACGAAGAGATTTCCTTATTAAGTATAACCTAGAGGAAGGGGGCGCTGTTATTCATAAACAATTTTCTCAGCTTCGTTTGTGCTGTCCACTACTTCGAAGCAGAGAAGTCGACCAATGGGACTGCAGACAGAAGCGGAAAGAATAGCAACTACTATAATCGTTCCGTACTCATCCTCGTAGAAAGAAAAAAAGAGCACGTAGACGTAGCAGTCTTTATACACACAAAGAATAACCATTCAGCAATGGAAACAGGCAGCCAAGAGGACGTTGAAGTAAAGACATCATTACACAATTGTTTTTTCATTAATTACATTAATAACAATTACAAAATTATGCTTGGTTCTGAAGCCTCACGTTTGACGGGCCTAATCGACGGAAAAGGAATGAGCAGCAATAACGGACGTCAATAAACAAAAACTTTATGAGAAAGAAACGTAAACGCGTTGATAGCTATTCAAATACATTGGAAACAGTTAATGAATGCTCCGGAAAGCGAATGATGGCTTTTTATTAATGGACCACGATCAAAACTAGATTAACTGATCAACAGATTTTGTTACTGTGAACGTATCAACTGGCCCTATTGGCCCGAATCAAGATATTAACTACTAGATCTCATGTCATGCTGTCTTGCATACAAATTTAAGATGCCTGATGGACTACTGATCTTTAAACCACTAAAGACGCCTAAAGATAGGAGATCATCTCGTTTATATATAGTAAGATTTCCCTCGGGTATCTTTCTAGGATAATCAAATTAACTAGAATAGCATCATCACGATAATTCTTCTGTTATTTCTGTACCAATAGATTTCGATCAATCACCTTGTCAAGGCAGTAAAAATTGTACGCGTGTCTTTATTATTATTGAACAATACGGTTTTAGGACAAGATACAAGCACGACATTTCAGCGTATGCGTTGATTAAATTACCTATTGTAGGACTAGAACGTGAAGCCAATTTTGTTGTAACCTGCTACTGTCTAAGTGAAATGTTCAATATATTAACAGACGGAAGGCTCATTGAAGACTCGGAAGACAAAATGAGAATGCGAGGCCGTGTCCTAGAGCTGATGAAAAGACGCTGGCGAATAAAACCTGTATATTCTATGAAGGTAATGGTGTATGTTACTATCATTATCGCAGGCTGCGAGTGCGCCCCACGGAAGTATTTGGGGTCCATTTGCAATTTCAATTAACAACATAAAAGTGGCCGAAACGAACTGGTTCACGTCCAATAGTTTTCACTGATCATATTTTCCTCTTGTTCCCTTTACATATGCATTATCTAAGCAAACTAGATATACCTTTAATAATAGATTTCATTCAATGAAAACAAATTATCCGGCATGCCGTAGGGGTACAATGAAATTTTTACACACTTGAATCCCGGCGAATATTACACAGTGGCTTTTCATAACAACTTTCTTCTATATATATATATATATGTGATCCTCTATTGGAGCTACAAAATAGATTTTATATAAACAAAAACACAGGTCCAGTGTCGCTAATAAGATCATTTACGCTTGAAAAACCCTTGCTTTCGTTTCACTATTACAAGCAATAGCACAGACTGTCGTTCAAGAAAGTATGTACACCTCGTTAGTGAACCCACACGCTTAGTATACGCTACCGATATAAGTCGACGTATTTCGTATATCTACAGTTTCGCCATTGAAGCTATAAAATAGAGCGGTTAAATAGATTGCCTCGGCTCCATATGTCGATAGTGCGATCAGCATTTGCAAGCATCATTCTTTGTTTGAATCATCAATGAGCACATGAAATGTGTCTTAGCTCAACCGTATCAACGGTAACAGGTCGATAAACTATAGTCTATGATTCTACCTAATTATTTACTTTTAATATCATGCTTCTATAATTATGATTGTACTTCATGCTTTATTTAATTTACATAGCAACCGTGTAGTATATGTCATTGGCGAGAATGGCAGCGGCGATTTTTGCTATAGCCGGAATCGGCGTTCGGTGAGGCCCAGTCATAACAGTGGATGGAGAAATTCAAGCGCCTGAAGGAGGACAGTGCGGGCCGGACAAAAAGATAATACCGAGAGCGCGGCGGCATCTACGAAAACGCCCCATGTGTGGCTGACCGACCTGCGTGCCTGGAACACGATTGCGTGGGAAAGCTCTAAGGAAGACCTGTACGACCGTTCCTTTCCACAGGATGCCTGAGCAGTTCCTTTACCGTTTCGGGAACGACGGGGAGACGATCGAATGGCATGAGTGTGGTAAACGAGCATAGCTGAATGAGATAGGGTGAAGATTGAATTCAATGGCTAAGGTCGAATGAACTGCAAAGTCAGCCACTTTGCGAAATTTACTATAGCGGCTAAAGTCAATTCCTATGGCGGGTTAGTTCGAATAGGCAGAGATTACACGTCGGAGAAGCCCGACGTTCACTCTCGGAAATGCACCCAGCAAAGAGGGAAAACCCGTCGCTGTTCCGAGAAACGGCGCAGCGTCTGTTTGTAGAAGCCCCGACTGTCAGGGTAAAGCAGAGTGACGGGTACCACTTTTGTTGGCGCCGGGTGTTCAAAAGCGATATTGTATCTATTAACGCTAATCTGCTGACTACCTGGATGGCCATTAAAGATGTGAGCCTCAGTGCGGTTATGGCGCATTAAATAGCCGGTCTTGGGCTGGGTACTGCTAATATGTATATTGCGGAAAAAATAAGAAATCAATGAGTTTACCCTTAATGAAGACACATTAAGTCGGACTACTTTGAGGGCATCGCCGCCAATACTATCAAAATCATCTTATGCTTTGGTGCTTCTAGTCTATCATCGAGTGGAATATTGGCTAGAGCACGTACGTACGTGTGTGTCTGCGATGTGTGCCAGCTTACGGCAGTAAGGCAAGAAAGTACGGCTTTTTCTAATTCGTTGGCAAATGATCTGGGGGTTTTCTGCTGGAAAAGCGAGAACATCCGTCCTGTTGGCAACGCAATAATAACCGTCACAACTACATCCACTATCCCAACAGGACGACGTACTGGAAAATGACCGGAAGTCCCATTGCTGTTACTGCGTAATCCCGCAAGGCACCACCGACGGCGTCGACGCTTCGTAACTGCGCCGCCTCCTTAATCGCGCCTAACGCGCGTGCGACGAGGTCGCGAGAATGCCTAGGCCGCACAGATCTAGTAAGGTCATAAATTCTCTGACTGCTTGCTATACGTCAGTGGCCTTTTGACGGCACTCATACTACGATTTCATTCCAAGATTTGCTATTGATAGCTCTATATTTGAATACCCGCTAAAAAATTTTTCTATAACAATTCCATTACGTGGTTCTTTCTTCGAACGGGCTTACTGTTGCTGCTACGTACCCATGTTACGTGCTCTCGTCGAGCCTTATCACTTTCAGCTTTTACTCTCTAACTACTTGTGGTCTTTTTAACGGAGTAAGTTTACTAGGTTAAAATATGCTTGATATGTCATATTATCCTATGGGGTAGTTCGCCTTCGTCGACATCGAAGTTGTGGATTGATACCTAGGTTATATCAATTCTTAGGGAATTAGCGATGTTTAAAGAAGAACTACAAAAAGTACCAAACTGTCCCAGTCGATGACGGCCATTTCTTGTAATTTCTGGGTTGAGTTCCGTAGAGGTTTCTGAACACAGTAAGTAAAAAATTAAGTATTTAATCAGGAGATTTATTAGCGAGATGCAATGTCCTGCCTATCCTTTGATGGGCATTCTTAGAAAGTACGTAATCTTACGTCAAATCCGTATAAGGCAAAATAGCCTTGTATAGTGGGTAGTGTTCAAAAATAACAAATGCTTGGTATAATCAGATTAGTCATCTGTGTCAATGATGAGGCGCACAATTTACCTAAATGACAATGATTTCTTATTTAATAAAACGATTTCGCGCTATTTCAATATTTTCTATGAGTTTTCGTCAGTTTTCCTTCAGTTTCACATCTTCTAAATAAAATTTATATTGAAAATCATAATTTCACCAGGTAAATTGGCCGTAGGTTGAAAAATTAATATTGTACACAATAGTTATCCGCACATTTTCATGTCTGAAAGAACATAGGATTTTTCTTCTCCTTATCTAATATGAAAATTTTATAAAAAAGGTGCTATGCCATCTCAGTGTTTAAAATATGCCCAGTTAAGTGACATCTTTGTGAATGTCGTACACAAAGCTTGCGCTTTGGGGGGATTACTTCAGGAAGAATGTTCAAAAAGGACTTAAAAATATATTCTCACAAGATCCAAGTGACATCAACATTCAAGCCTAAAGGTTATTTTGTCAGAAAAAAAGGTATGTTAATTAGTTGCTAGGTAGACTGGCCTTTGTTTCGACAAGAGTTCAAACTTCGCTCGCTATTAGGAGATAGTCTCAGGCTTTTTTGTACGTTGAATCGTTGAAGAAGGTTTGTAAGACACTTATCCACCCGTCCAGATAACTTACGACGCCATCGCGTCATTAAAGAGTCATTTTGGTGAACGGCTGATCTCCAGATAGGGTACCAGCGGATGATCTTCCAGATTATGCGAAATAGCTCTTCTCGACTTATTCTTATGAGGGTACCTAACAAGCGAGGTGTGCTACGATAATCTACGGAAATTGGACAAAGTTAAGAAATATGCTCATGTCGCCATTTTATAGATAAGGCCAGATATATGTAAAAAAATCACAAAAACTTGGTAAAGTGAGACAAACTAGGGGAGTTACATTATTGATATTGTATTTAAATAAAACTTAAAATATTTTAGTTTGTAATAAGGAAAGATTATGTAAAAAAATTCAGTTGTTATCTGTTGGTATCATTTTGAAGTTGCTCACGATTAGGCGCCTGTGACGTGACGTATAACCCAAAAAGCGTCGTTCTGCTTTATTTCTATAGAAGTGAGCAGTCCTAGAAGACTGTCATCGTGGAAAGTGTCCGAGCCAATATATATTATTTTTTTCACTATTTCAAGTTGTCCATTGATAAATTGAATTACCCACGTAGGCGCATCTTTACGAAATGATAGTTTCCTATTGTGTTTCTGGATAGCAGGTCTATTTTGCTGCTATGCAAAAGCTAACCTTTATAAAATGATTGGCTGTCAGGGGGAATCAGGTGGATATAGGTGACGTTGTATGGTTAGTCGATCAAGAGGCTAGCTAATGGCCAGTCCTTCCGATATTGCCCAAATTTATGTCGCTCAGACGGCAGCAGGTAGACAGCCAAAGCAGACCGCATCTCGGGCACCAGTTGGCTCACCAACCAATCAACTGACTGGTAGGCAGCTGCCCATTGACCCGACCATCCATACTGCAGCACGACCAGCCTTGACCGTCATGTCCTAATTTCGAC